CCATATTGCTCTTAGGACACCTTTGGACCAGGGTTCGCAGTCTGTTGTAGAAATCCTCTTTGTCCTCTTCTTTACTATCGTTGGTAGGAGCGTACACCTGTAGGATGTCCATATTGATTTTTCGTTTTTTTGTCTTAAATCTTGCCGTGATTATACGGGAACCATGCGCTTCCCACCCTATAAGTGCGTTCTGGGCAGTTCTGGAAAGCATGAGTGCCACTCCTTGGTTGTGTGCCGCATTTTCATCTTCGTGGCCTGAATATAGCAGCAGTTCCCCTGTGTTGAGCTTTATCTGACCTGAGCCTATCCATCGAGACTCACTTATTCCCAAGATGGCTAGTTTGTATCTTTGCATTTCAGCAGCAACTTGGACAGTTTTTCCAGTTTCGAACATGGTCCTTACGTTCCATGTTCCTAGACTGGTGGTGGTCCTAGTGGAGAGGATGGTTGTCCGCCGGTTGGTTTCCAGTTGGCTTTGGCCACCCAGCTTCATTAATTCTCTGTTAGGAGACCCATCCTTTCCAAGGTCCGAGTTTCCTTTTGAAATCTTTCTTTGTGTTTTTGTAGCAGGGCTTTTTTTACAGGGAAGGGTTGCTAGCCCTTCGCCCAACCCTCCTCCTTTCTCACCCGGGCTTGGGACCGGCTACGGCGGAGTTCCATAGGGACCAAGGTTTTGAAAATGCACTATATCTACAGAAACAACAATCTATTTCTCTTATTCAGCCGGTTAAAATTTCATAGAAATGTGTTACAAATATGTCACTGCACCATGGCATGATGGTTCAGTGATATTAGACAAGACTCAAAGAAAAAAAAAATAATTATTTGTTTTTAAAAACCCAATTGCCTGTTTTGTAACATAAAATGAAAATTTATTATTTCTTCAAAAGAAATAAGAATGCATGGCAACATACATAGATGTTAAAAATATTTAAAATATACCCTTAAATACAAAAATAATGTATACAAGGAATTCACCAAAGCAATTATGAATAATTGGCTGATATAGGTATTTAAACAAAACCTTCAATCACATTCTCTCCACGGACACTGAACTTACAGCTTTGCCTTCTTCCTGAGACAAGGGATGTGTTGTTAAATAAGGAAAATTACACATAATTTTTGTTTAGTTTATAAAAAAATTATAATTGAAACTTAAGAACAGCTGACATGCATTATTATCAATAGATAAATGTTGATGGGAGCCTTGTGAAACACTCTTCTATGATACTGATGGATCTCAACATGCATTATAATTTGGCTAGTTAAAGAAATTTGAATTTATGTTGAATATAATTGGTGAAAAATGAATGCCTACATCAAAAAACACTTTTGTTACATATAATCTACAAAAGGAAAAAAAGCAGTTAAAGCAAATAAACCCTCTGGAAGTACATATTCTTGACCCCTTGTCCCCACCCCCAAGGGGAGGGCTGTGAAACAGCACTCGAACAACAACTGTCAGCCTTTTGTCTTGATGTTCAATCTAATTATCATGTACATTTTGTTCCCAAATTTCTCAAACATTTTGGCCTGTTTATATGATGGAAGACTGCAAAATTGTTATAAAAATGCAGCAGTATTTTGGTTAACCCTTTACAGTCCAAGCCTATTTAGCCTTGTCTACTCCCAGCACCCAAGCAAAGGGACATAACTCCATTTTAAATGAAGCTTCTTTATCTAATTAATTTACAGAAAATAAAAAGAAGCAAGAGAAGAAAAGAAAAATACCTAAATACAAATAAATGATTTAAGCAAAGGTTAAACCTAAAAACAGTTTCAGGGACCCTCCCACTTTGATTTGTGAAACATTTCCAGACCACTAATGATCTTACTGATCAGTTGGACTGGAATTGATAGGTCCGTTGTCATCGATGTATCTAATATTACTATTATCTTCTTCACTTCAATCACTATTACTAGTAGCATCATTTAAATTAATGTCTCTATCAGATTCTTCACTATCGCTGATAGACTCATGAAATAGTGAAGCTTAATTAGGCCTAAGTTCTTTCAAAATTTTATCCAAGGCTTGGAAAGCCATTTTTTACAGCGAAAAAATCAAAGAAAATGAGCCCCTAAACACACTGCGGTCGTACTAGTATCAAAATAAATGCTGACAACTAGTCTTTCTTCCGGTAGAACTATAAATAGTAATGGATAATGGATTTCTGATGTGCTAAGAACGAAAGTAAACAACCTCGAAACAGGCGGGTTTAGCCGCAACGGACTGTAGGCTTAAGGAAAAAATCGGCGCATTTCGGGCGCATCGGACTGTAAAGGGTTAATATTGAATAAAGACAAAACAGGTAGCCTGATGCCTTAATCATCATTTAAAATATTTTTATCATAAATAAAAACTGACCAAGCACAAGTGGAATGCACTTTTCTGAACAACTAGGATGATTGTCATTTTTGTTTAAAGGTGAACGTTTGTAGCCAATACAATTGTTTTTTTGTCCTTAAGCTTGTTTGAATGTCAAAATAAGAGTGCCTTTTTTTCTTGATGGAAAACTGGAAAATTAGAAGCATCCCACCCTCCCTATTTAGATCTTTATTGCAGCTCTCCTCTTGATAAAGTCTTTCATCTTCCATTGGTTATGTTCTATCATCATCTCCTCTCCATTATAAACACAAAGTACTGTGATATTCTTGTCATATTCTAAGTCAGGTAGTAGCTGAAAGAAAAAATAAAAGTCAAAATGTTTTATTGAAGTGAATCACATCAGAAGCTATAATACATGAAGACCCTAGCACAAAAAGTCACATTTTTGTCAAAAACAATCTAAACTGTGACCTTTTATCTGGTTTAGCCAAGTGAACTGCAAAATTTGAACACATTAAAATGTACTTTAGTCAATCATTTAAACAAGCCAAAAATGAAAATGATCACATTTTATAGACGAAAAAAATATTTGAACTTGATTATCTCAAAATGGGTATTTTGTTACTTAAGTAATGGTACTATTAACACTAATGTCTTCGTATCAGAAGGATAAAATCCAAAAGCATGATAAAAAGTTTGAAGAAACTGATATGATCCAAACACACTCACTTGATCCAAACACACTCAAGAATTACCGCCCCGTCAGCAACCTCTCCTTTCTCTCAAAAATCATAGAAAAACTCATACTCTCTCAGCTCTCTGGCTATCTTCATTCTCGCAATCTCTATCCTTCCTCTCAGTCCGCCTACCGACTTGGTCATAGCACAGAAACAGCACTGGTCCGAGTCATGAGTGACCTCCTGCGCGCGATGGACGATGGCAAACTCTCTATTCTCACTCTGTTAGATCTCTCTGCTGCATTTGATACCATTGACCACCAGATTCTTCTTGACCGCCTTCATCTTTCTTTCGGACTTACTGGCTCAGCTTTAAACTGGTTTCAATCATATCTTTCTGACAGAACTCAAAAAGTCTCTATTTCCAACCGCTCTTCCAAACCTTCAGCCCTGTCTATTGGAGTTCCTCAAGGATCGGTCCTTGGGCCGGTCCTTTTCATCCTCTACACTAAACCTCTATCATCTCTCATTAGCCACCACTCAGTTTCCAGTCAATCCTTTGCTGATGACACTCAAATCAGTGACTCTTGCTTTCCTGATCAACTTGATGCCACAATCCTTCGCATACAGGAGTGCGTGGACGATGTAAAGCGTTGGATGACTTGCAACAAACTGAAGCTAAATGATGATAAAACGGAAATCCTTCTCATCCACTCTCAAAACAAACCTCTCCCTCCATTCGCTCCTTCTTCTATATCTATTGGCAACTCTGACATCACACTCTCTCCCTCTGCCAGAAACCTTGGAGTCACGCTTACGGACACCCTCTCCATGGAGAAACATGTCACGAATATATGCAGATCAGCATATAACGAAATTAGAAAAATCAGCACCATTAGACACCTCCTCTCCTTTGATGCCACAAAAACTCTCGTCTCTTCACTCATTCTTTCAAAATTTGACTACTGTAACATTCTTCTCTCAGGCATTCCTCAACACCACATAGAAAAACTTCAGAAGGCACAGAACTCAGCATGCAGACTCATTTTTAAATTAAAGAAACATGACCACATTCAACCACACATGCGGCAACTCCACTGGCTTCCAATATCCTCTCGCATCAAATACAAGTCTTCCAATCTTTGCTTCAACTCGTTCACTGACCCTCACTTTCCTGTCTATCTCTCTGAACTGTTGCTTCCTTACATCCCCACAAGACAACTACGTTCTTCCATTGACAGTAGAACCCTCTCAATCCCAAGAACTAAAACTAAGACCATCGGTGAACGCTCCTTCTGCTTCCATGGGCCCACGTTCTGGAACCAGCTCCCCTTCCATATACGTCATAGTGAAACCTCGTCCATTTTCAAAAAGTCCCTTAAAACTCATCTGTTTAGGTCCGCCTATGACCTGTGATGCACCCTCCTTGCCCTACCTAATTTTCTGTTTCGGTTTAATCCTGAAGTGTCAAAGTGTCCTCTTTTTATAGCCATTTTCATTGTTTCTATAGAATAGTAGTTACTATCCTAGTGTCTCATTTGTATTTACTTAGTTTACTTGTTTTAATATTTGTTTTAATATTTGTAAAGCGCTTAGAGCTTTATGATAAGCGCTATATAAAAATGCCTAAATAAAATAAAATAAAATATGAAAAAAAATAAGATTGTCAAATGAGAAATGAGTCTACAAATTTGAATGAAATCAAAGTTGTTTTTTTTTTAACTATTTATAAACTTCAGATAAAATGGCTTAAGTTCAAGTTTGCCACTGAAGCATTAAAATCATTTTGTTAAAATTGTTTATGGGACACCAAATGTCATTAATTTTTGGGGGTCCTTTCAGACAACTCCACTTTTCTTCCTTGTTCCTAACTGCTTTTTATTCTCCAGCAAAGCCGAATTTAAAACTTGGCAGTGCGACAGGCAGGAAGTGTTTTTTTTATTCTAAATTGTTGCAGCATCAATCATGTACTTGATAAAACTTACATTGAGCACATGTTGTTACATTCTGGATCTTTAAAATGAATTTTTGAAGCTTACCTTAGGTGTCAGGAGAAAATATTGGGAGGCACTCAGCTTGCAGACAGTTTCAACAACTAACTGGAAGATTCTCCTTTCATTGTTTGGATCCATGCCCTGAATGGGAATAAACCAGTGTTGAAAAAAGCAATTAGCAACTTATTGAAGATTTTGGTCTACTTATTGTGGATGCTCATCAAATGAGACAATTCAGTTCTAAAATAAAATGCTTGACATAAAATTAGGACTTGAATATTTAATAGCATTTTAAATCATCTATAAAATAAAACAAATACAATGCGTGTATTTTCTTAAGAAAAGACAGAGGTGAATCTTTCTACCTTATTTATTGATATTGGATTTATAAAGTAAAAAGCTATTCAGCACTGGTTGTCAAGCTTGTGAATTCAATAAATCGCATTGCTCAATTGAACCTTGAAGCATACTAAAAGTAATATCAATGTATGAAAAACTTAATCCACGAAGCATCATGTGCATTTTTCTATAGCGCCTAGACTTGTTGGTAACTTAAATACCTAAAACTAGACTACCAAAACGAATAGAAAATTAATCTAGAGGCCCATATATTATAAGTATAAAACACACATTCTGAGAGTATAGTTGACAAATTGTGACCATGCCCATAACCTTTAGACAGTGAGTGCAGATATGCAACTTTTTTTTCTTCAACACACCCACGCATTATATTGTTTTACTACATGGTACAGTGCGTTCAAAAAGAAATTTGACGCAAATTTTAATGTGTGAACTGAAAAAAAGATTCGACCAAATTTATGTTCGATCAAATTACCGTTGATCAATTTACCGTCGACGAAATTTCTTTCTGTCAAATTTCCGATAACCGGAATTTTTTGCCTTGATTTTCAATATGAAGGGAAAAATAGTTTATGATTATTGCCCCTATTAACAGTTAAACTTGTGATTTGCATTTATAATTATAATATTAATGTGAAGCAATGCAGTAGAAATGCCAATCATCAGCCATTGTGATAGCTTGAGGTTAAAGATGATACCATGCAACCCTATTTTTTAAAATTAAATTCTAGATACTTTTAATCTTTACTTACTAAATTATCTAAATGTCTTGACCCCCAAAATCCTTATGAAGTATTCAAAATATGAATGCATAATCCAATCTACCTGATTGATTTCATCAACACATCTAAAAGGACACTTTGTAAGTTCTTGTAAAGCCATCATATACAGGACGGTAGAAACACTGCGTTCTCCTCCACTCTGATGATGAGCTGTCAGTTCTCTGAGATTTTCATCATCGCGGAACTTCACTTTGATACTCACACCATATTTTTCATAGTCTTCCTAGAAAGGTTTTTTTTTTTAAAATTACTCAAAATAATATAAATGAGAAACCTCCTGAATAAATACAGAATTTAAATCACATTACAGTATAGAGGATTCAGTTAAGGAAACTATATACTGAAACAAAGGGAAAAAGATGCATAAGAATAAATTCCCAATGAGCGAAAAAAAAGTATTGGAAAACCTGCTACGTTACACTGAACTTATAAATAATTTACTTTTTTGATAATGGTGAAACTTTGATTCCTCCAAAGAATACTCACAGAATTTTCTGGAACATTTAGGCTGACCTCTCCACAGCACTGCAAAGTGGAGAAAAAGTAGCTGAACTTTGTATTAATAAGTTGTATTAATTCTGTTAAAGGTTCCAACCATTGCCGCTTAATTTCAGTGATGTCAGCTTGATGTGTCTGCCGCTTAGCTTCGGTCTCATTGAGTCTTTGCTCTAAATGTTCAATTTCTCTCTGCCTTTTCTCAAAATCATGAACAACCTAAAACAGTTCAAATTTGTCAAATTTAATATACCTGTACATATACAATGGTGGGACTCAAAGTAGATAGCTAACATTGTGAACTTTGAGTTAGTGAGAAGGAATAGTCTGAGGAAGACTGCAGTGAAGTTATAAAATTATAAATTAGGACCACCATGTTTGTCTTATTCCCTGTGTTGTATAATGATTCTAGATCATATTTAGTGAGAGTCAAAACTCAATTCTAGTGAGGCTTGCGGCATGCAGAGTTGAGCTTTCTGGGTCATGGGGTTATAGGTTTCACAACTGAAGATGTTTTTAATTTTTTTTTCTGTTAATATTTTATAGATGAGCTAATAATTGTTTCGGCCAGTATGTTTGTGTGCAGGTGAAGACTTTTTAAAGAATAAATAACTTAACAATTCTGTCTTACTCAAAACCATTGGCAGGAATAAGACATAATAAAAGATAATATGTTAGGGACAGTGTTAAACCCATGTGAAGTAAATAAATGGTGGAACAAGATATGTTTAGGCTTGAAAAAAAAAAAATACAGAATTAAAAAGACGTTTTGCCTAATTGCCTTCTTCGGCAAACAAGAAAAAACAAGAACAAAAAATAATTAGAGATAAAAACTTATGTGTTAAAGTTCAAAGATCTCAACGTAGCTGTCTGTTTAGAAAGGAAGGCATTATATTTAGAAACAGAAGTTAAGTGGTTCAAAACCAAAACGTGTGTCCCACATTATCCTTTTGTGTCAAGTATCAAGGTAAAAGAATTTAAGGATTATTAATGTGCAATTTTAAACAACAAATATTGAGCATAGAAATGGAGAGAAATTGAGGACCACTAGCAAGAAAGTATTTGAGATGTATTCCATGTGGTGATAAAGTGCAGAAAATCTGAATTAATTTGTTTTCATTCTTCCCTCTTGCTGGTGTATCAGTGCAAGAAATTAGAGCCTGATGGACACATACACATCTGATGTGTCTTTGTGTTCACCTCCGTTGAAATGGGATAAGAAGAGTTAAGTTTAACAAAGGGTCAATTTCTTCAATGGCTTGCTGAAAATGGTTTAGTCCCAAAGTGAGAAGGGTGAATTCTTGAAGGCGACTGTGAACGAGAAGGTCACACAGATTTTTATCCAGTCTGAAGACAATAAGTGGAGGGGATGAGAATATGCTGTTAGTGTCAGTGTCACCAAGGAGCATAAGACGATTCTTCAAGAATATTTTTTGGCTAAAAGCATAAGACGATTCTTCAAGAATATTTTTTGGCTATCACATTTTGAGGGTGGCAAGTAAAGATGAGTTTTGTTTGACACTCATTTTTGTTTAAACTAGATTTGAAAGTATCATTAAGTATGATTGTGTTGACACGATTGAGTGCCGAATGATCCCCAGTAACTCCTGCCAACAACAGTGATCATTTCTCTGTAACAGCTTGTTATATAACATTGGGGGATAGGGGGGAGGAGAACCATTGCACAGCTCAAAGGGAGATATTTCAGAAAAGGGGCCCTGTCTGTTACTGTTAGTGATTCTGTGGGACATTCACTTCACTTCTTGCCTCAAAGAGATAGTTAAAAAATGCTTCATGTACATTCCACGGGTGGCCAACCCATATGGCTTTCCAGGCCATTTTGATTGTGATTCAATTCTTCATGGGGCCGCATGTCATTAAATCTAATAAAGATAATAATGTTAAGATAATGTTGTTAACACATCTACTCGTGCTGCCTTACACATAAATAAATGGCATAGTTTTGAATCAAAATATAACTCTTTACATACAGCACTTTATTGAAGATAAAAAAGGAGCACATTTGCCACCTTGTTCCTTGAATGTGGGGTGTGGGACAGGAGGAAATTGAGGATGCCCACCGTAGTCTCCAGAGCATAAGTGGGGGAAGGATCTGGGGAGTTTTTCTGTGTGGATAAATTCAAAATGCAGGATTGCATTTTGGCGCATACCTGAATTTAGGTTTACACTGAAGACAAACAGAAGAAATGCTATTGGAAAATCAGGTTCCCTTTACCTATATGTGTTTATACAAATCTTTTAATTTTAGTAGTTACTAAATAGCAATATTAATTTTAGATAATATTTTTTTACTCTAAATTTTTTTTAAAATCAGTCCAAAAGACGGGACTGTACATTGAAATGGCACATACCTCGCAAAAATGTGCTTTATATATATTTCAAATGTGCTATTATTACCAAAAAGGAAAATAACTGATAATTGAATGAATGAAGAAATAATTTTATTTGTGAAATATCTGGCCAGCCACAATACCTGGCCGCCTCTGGTACAGTCAGATAGTTTGATACTTAATATTCAAAATGAGGCTATTATTAATTACGGGGCGCTGCCCTGCAGTTACCTCTATTTAATCTGTGCTTATTTTTCAGCTTTTTTAATAGTTGGAGATTTTTTAAAAGTTTTCTTTGGTATCAAGGTATGTTAAATGTGTTTGATCTGATTTGATGATAATCTTGTGTTTTTGATCATGAGGAACAGCAGTAACATGCATTTTCAACATCTTGGCATAAACAAAGACATATTCATATGTATGCCATATAGGAAAAAAAGGATACCCCACCTTGTAAACAAATGACACGATAAAAAAAACACCCAAACACAAATTGGCTACAGACAAAAGAAGTGTCCCTGGTCATTGAAAAAAAAACAACAAGAACTCTGTTCAAACAAACAAAAAACAAGAATCTCTTCGAAATTACAGCTCACAATCAAGAACTCATCAGTTATTCATACTGCTCAATTAGTCGACAAAAGTCTTGCTACAGACTAATTTTAAGGAACAAAGAAAACTCAAACAAGGATTTTTAAGACAGAAAAAAATATGTACAATGAATGTAAAAACAAATTTCCATATATTTGGATTAATAAAAGTATCTTATCTTATCAGCAATATTAATTGGAACTGATAGTAGTCCTTTGTCTCATAAATAGCACAAGTTTCAGGAATGGGCACAAAGGTGCTCAAAATTCTGTCTTTCATTCACCGAAGTGTCAATAATCAAAGTAAAAATGCATGCTGAAGTTGAGAATACATAGCAATGTTGATGTAAAACACTATTTGAAATGAATGGACTTAAAATATTTAACAATTTTTCTGTTACCTAATAATATGCTTCAGTTGTAGTTGTGTAGAGTAAAGCGGCACATTAAGCACCAAGGGGTAATATGCACCATCAAGCACATAAACAGTTCAAAACCCTCTAAAAAAATATGAAGACATTTAAGGGGCATTAAGCCATATTGTTTACTGTTTTAAACCAATCAATTAAACCAACACCCCCCCCCCCCCCCAACTAGATTAAAAGCTTGAGTACATTTGTATAAAACCACTGAGGTCAACCATAAGATATTCTGACTGTGTGAGGAGACAGGCATTTTTCTTACCTTTTCATCCACTTGAAACATAGATTCCGCTCGAGCTTGCATGCGGTGTATCTCATTGTCCAATTCATCTATACTTGATGGAGCATCTTTAAAGTCTTCCCATATTCCACGCTGAAATAAAATAAACACGGTACTTGGAAGATGTCTCTGCAGGGACTTTAAATAATGAAACTTTTCTTATCAAGCTATTCATAAATAAAGAGTACACCTTTACAATAAAACAGTGTACATTTGCATAGCTTCTTGGGGGCTACCAGCATTGCAAGATATGAGGGTCAACCACACAGCATATTTTATTTCAGTTGAGGGCATCGGTTAAAGTAAGATTGAAGTGAAGGCCAAACCAGGACTGTGCCGCCGAGCCTTGAAAAGAACAAGACAAATCACAGTAGGTTCAGCTGTACTTAAAAATCAGATTTGCTGTGCGGCAAAATGAAAATGTTTCTGGTGTTGAGGATTGGTGAACAGTGTTCCATTTAATTGCTATTTAGTACTGGAACTAAAATAGAATGAATGTGGGAAAAATGAAAAGATCATTGAAACAAGAGATCACCAGGAATCTGATTGATGAAAAATGCTGTTTGAATCAAGCATTTACTCTGAAGCTGAGAGATGAAGACATGGCAAAAATATAAGCAGCAAGAGAAATTTGCTAAGCAGACAAGAGAAACTGCTTGAATCGAAAATCCAGAAATAATAGAAAGACTCTTTATCCCATTAAACTCAAGTTAATTTGCATACGGTAAACTCAAAATGCTACCATTTACGACAAAAATGAGAAGACCTGCTCAACCAAGAAGAAAATTTTTAAAGACAGCAGTTCAAACTTGAATGCGTGCATGTCTGAAGTGAACACTTACAGTGGTGAGAACTTTCTCTAGATCATCTTGATAACCAATGTCAGCTTTTTTCTTGGCATCCATCAACTTTTCCCTGGCTTGCTGCTTGAGTTCTTGAACATGTTCCTGGAGTTCTTTCACTTCTTTCTGTTCTTGGCAACAAGAGTAACAAATATTGAAGCAAAACTCATTACCTTTTCATGGCAAATAATATCAAAGATGGAGGAGACACGTATGGTGAAACTATAATAAAAGGGGACTGAATCATTGCTGTGCTATATCCCAGGAATCCTGAATTTGTCAAGATCCAAAACAAAAATCTATTGCCAAAATAGGGATATAACCTTGCCTTCTAAAGTTCCTCTTTTTCTACCGATGCATCTTAAATATTTACACATGTGAAGAACTAACTGACATGTGAATAACTAATACATAATAACAACCAAATTAAATTACCTGTCTTAAAATTGAATGCTAAAAAACTTTCACTGTTACAATTTAAACTACTCCTACCTCAAGGCCTTCAAATTTCTGTTTTGCATTCCGTAGTTGTGTATCTATAATGGAGAAATCCCGACCTTGTTCAGCCAGTTTTATACTAAGTCTAACTCTTTCTTTAGCCATACTGATGCAGTCCTTTAGTAAGAAAAAAACAAAAATTATCAAATATGGTGAATACTATATAAATTATCCCTTTACTTTTTAAAAAAAATAAAATTAATCAAGTATAAAAATAAAATGTCAAATCCAAAGCTTATTTCTTGACATTTAGTCAGTCATCAATTTGGAATATCTTTTGAATATATATTGACGTAAAAACTAAGGAAGTAAAAGTTACTCACTGCCAAGATTTTTTTCATCATTTCTAGGCATTTGTATTTGTCTCTGATTATGGTTTTGAGCTGATTGTCAAGTTTCTGCTTCTCTGCTTCTAAGTTGATTTCTTCTTTCACGACTTGCTGTATCCTGATAATATTTCAACGGCTTCATGAAAGGTCATCAATTAATAAAAACACAATCTACTGCAAGAGTGACAAAAAGTAGCAATTATAGGCCAATTTTTTGTTTTAATCTGCCAACAGCCTGTATTAAAACACAGCTAAATAAATCAGGCTTGTGGTAGATGACACCTCTCACATGTAATCCAAACATGCCCACTGTCTTGTGATTATGTAACACGGTAGCCTGGATTACTAGAGGCAACAGCCCTGACATGCCCTTTATTTTGATCAAAGTGAGGCAGAGTTGTGCAATTTCTCAGCCTCACTCTCTTTTTCCTTGCTAATCTTGATCCAGTGGCTAGACCTAGTCAAGACCACTGGAAAAAAGACAGGGATGCAGTGGATGACCAGCAGTGTTTTTTGTGTCTCACTGTGTTCTATACACGCTCCATGTCACGATTGCTGTCTCTGCTTTCCTACCCATTCGATCACATAAGGATCTCTTTGTGGCATGCTCAGAAGACATTGGGTCGGCACAATAGTTATAAGATTATGACGTTATTGGATATGATGTCAGTATAGGAGCTGTTTATTTCATTTTATTGTCTCACAAAAGGATTATGTAAGGCTAAGGGTGCAAACTTCCTAAGAAGATCCCCAGGTAGGGGGTTTCTTAGAGTTTGAAATGACAGCCATTAACAAAAATACATGAGACGCACAATGTCTTAATACTTTACAAAAAGTGTTGCAAGGGCCAGAAAAATGTCAATGAGACAAGAAAATAATAAATGAAAATAGCATTTAAAAGTTAAGCTATAAAAGCATTTGCTGTTTTCATGCTACATACCTTTGTTTCTTTGTTATGATCTGGTTTTCAACATTTTTCCTCTGGTCACGTTCCTTCTGATGATTTCTCTTTATAAAAGATACAAGAAATGTTTTTATTTATTTTAATTAATTTTAATATTCTAAACTTATTTTATAATTATATAGTAAAGATTAAAAACTTCATAGGATCATTTTGTCAAGGCCCAGTTTTGTGTACAGGAAAACTAACTAATGTCACACAAAAATAAAGTAACAATAGTAACATAGGCATCAACCAAGAGAAAAAGATTTTAATAATTTACCTTCTGTTCTCTGAGTGCATTAATCTTTATCTCCAGCTCTTCTGACTTCTTTTGTAGGACCCTGTACTCATCTTCTTTGCGCTTTTGCCTTTCAGAAGATTCCTGACAATGAAAAGCTAACCCATCAATATCCTTGGTTAATTTTATAAGAAGCTTAAAAATATTCAGTTTAACCCTTGTTTTTTTACTAGAGGAAAAAAATAATTGCTGAATCATATTATAAAATTGAACTAAATATTTTAATTGAATACACATTCTAAATGGAGTGATTTTGTGGTCAATTATCTTTCATCAAGAAAATCAAAGAATGAAATAAAACAAACCTTGATCACTCTGTGCAATTCTTGTTCTCTCTCTGCATCAATGGACACAGCCAGCGCTTTGGGTGGCCTGTTCAAGAAATTAACATTACAATTATCCTTCAGATACAAGAAAAGGTTGTTTTTAAAAAAAATGATAATACAGCTTATATATATATATATGTATATATTATACAGCAGGGCTTTTATTTGACTTACAACTGGCTACAACCAAGTAATAAAGTTAGTGAATACAATCTCAAAGAATAACCTTCTTTTTTGAGCTATTTTTGAACTGAGAGATAGCTTTAAAAGGACAGGTATTTTCAACAACAAAAGACTACCAGATCGTAAAACTTTATGTGCTTTTACCAGGCATATGTGGAGAATGTCTTCATTATCAAACTAAGTCCTAGGCAACCAGACTTTTAAATCAAATAATGAACAAAGATGAGATTGGCTTACTTTAATAATGTGTTCCTTGTGGATACACGATTGCTGTATTTGGATCTTTTGATGGAATACTAGAAAGAAAAAAAAATGTGATAATTTATTTAATTCAGTTGTTAACCTTTTATAAACAGCATATTCTCAAATGGAAAAAAATTATCACAAATTTTAATGCACTTGGGACGGCCGGGCCAATCTATCTGCCCAGGTTCAAATGGTGAAAAAGACAAATGGCCGATCCATCTGCCCAGTAATTCATGTCTGGAGATTGGCTGGCTGGTCTTCATACCAGATAATTAGATTGCTTCTTGCATTTCTTGCTCTTCTCGCCATTTTAATGGCTGCATCTTTTGATAGTTTACAGTGTTCTGTCATTTTATATCAATTTTTTGTGTACTTAAAAATGCTTAAATAATATTTGACCTTGAAATATGTCAAAAGGCATAAGCAGCCCCAGGGGAATATTCATTGGCTAGAAATGGCTAGAAAGACTTTGATATTGTATGCTTGTAATTAGTTTTTGTAGTGTTGTGTTTGTTTTAAATGTGGTGAATTATAGATATGTTTTTTGTTGACTTTGTACCGCGCTTCGAGCCTTTGGGGATGAAGCGTGTTTTTTAAATGAACTTTATTATTATTATTATTAATTATTTTTTTTCATTTTATGCAAAGTTTTGACAAAATTTTCCCACAGTATGAAGGAAAAAAAAATCCTTGTTATAAAAGATTTAAAATTTATTTAAATAAAATACTTCATCATCTAATTCTAATACAATTCATAGTCAAACATGACAAAAATTCTATGAACAATCAAAAAATTGTCAACATTTTTGCAAAACCTATATTTTGTCTTTTTTTTCCTAAAAAATGCACTATAATTTTTCTTTTAATTAAAATTATTTTTTGTATGTAATATATTTAAAAAATGGGCCCCACAGCCTATAGATGTGTATATTAAATATATTTCTTAATTAATCTTGAGTAAAAGATAACTAAGTAAAATTTGATGATTATATAAATAACTCAAAACAAGAGTCAATGTTGTTGTTTTTTTAATTTTAAAATAGCGGTATTCAAGTTCAAGTTTTTAAAAAAATTAAATGTTTCAGTACAATAATGCTAATTTTGATATTAATGTCAAATACGATCAATTCCTCACTAATGTGATCTATTTTTTTCCCATGCACCGGCATTTTTATATATCTTTGTTATAATCCTCACATAACACAGGCTGATAAACTACAGTATTCCTTAATTATATTTATGGACTCTGAACAAATATTTTTTTTCTTAAAACAGTCTGCAGTTTTATTATAATAATTATATTTGATAAATAAGAGCTTGTCCTGGACTTTATTCTACATAAGATTAGATTACGTTTCCCACTATAATGTCCACTATAGATTTTGAAACACAGAACACCTCTACTCTTCCACTAAGGAATGGTGTTGATATGTCGATGACAGCCTTTTCTGCTTTCACAATATCTGTGTTCATTAACTCATTGAAACCAACTCCGACCAAGCCTTCTAGAATCGGAAAGTTCCTTTTCCTTGTCGTTTCATTGTCCTGCTCTCTAATCTCCCCGTCACATTTGATATTTATCTTTGTGCCAATCTCTTTATTTTCTTTTGGCATTCTGTAACTTTTATTGTGTCGCCTAAGCCTAATGCCAGCCAGGTGCATCCGAGGATTAAATATTGCTGATGCAGCCCTTTTTGAATCATCTTTTCCCGATTCACGTACATTAGGACAGTTTCTCGCAATATGTCCACCCCTGTGACACACAAAACACTTGAAGTCAGTTTCACCTGTCCCTTAATGTCACTATAAGTTCTCATTGGACCAGGCCATGTCTTCTGCTCTTCATCTCCTTTATTGCTCGTGCCATTTCTCCTATTCTCCAACTGAATCTCGTGAGGCTTATCATTGAAGCCTCTCCTCCTTGCCTCGAGAAATAGCTCTGCTACTCTCACTACCTCATCAAGACTATCAATCCTTCTCTCTTTTAAGTGAGTGGTCAAATCAACGGGACACACGCTCATGAATTGCTCCTTGATAAACATGTCCATAATACATTCAACTGTATTCTCTATCTTCGAAAGAGTAATCCACTTCTTGAGGTAATTCTTTAACCTTCCGATGAATACGGCCGGACACTCATCTGCCTGTGGCCTACTTTTTCGGAACAGGATTCTGTATCCATCCTCTGTAAGGTTGTATCTCTTTAGCAGCACCTCTTTCACCTTTTCATAATCTAGTGCATCTTCATAGGGCATTCTCGAATACTCCTCTAGAGCACGCCCTGACAGAAGCGCGCTAAGTGACAGCGCCCAATCGCTTATTGGCTATTTGCTGGTCTTCGCAAATAGCTCAAATCTGGTGAGCCATCCATCCGATAGATCCACTCCATCTACGAAAGGTGGAAGCTTGAGCTGCTTAGGTCGACTATCAAAACCGTTGGGACTCCAATTTCTTACTTGTTCCAACCTCTTGGCTTCTAACATCGCCTCTCTATCAGCCGCCCTCTCTGCCGCCTCTCTCTCGGCCATCCTCTCTGCCATCCCTCTATCAGCCACCCTCTCTGCTGCCTCTCTCTCGGCCGCCCTCTCTGCCACCTCTCTCTCTGCCATCCTCTCTGCCGCTTCTCTCTCGGCCGCCTCTCTTTCAGCTGCTTTCTCTGCAGCTTCTCTTTCTCTAACATTATTCAACTCTCTCTCTCGATGTATTCTTTCCTTTCATCTCCTCTAAGTTGTAGAGCATCTACTAGAGCCACTATCTCACTCAAACTTGTCAGTGGCATCTTCGTTGTCCCCTCGTTGTGTCTGCACCCCGGTAACAAGCCCCCAGAATGTCCCAGATTAGATGATGGTAGTATGAGGTATTGCCCGTTGCGTACCAAGTAGTATTGGTGTTGGTTGATGCAGGGGTTGCTCCTCTCTGTGAAAGTTCAGTGTCCAGACGTTGAGGAAATATAACGAAGACAACACATACTTCAAAGAATGACTAAGAAATTCCTCCTTGACAACTAAAAACAAAGAATTTTTTAATAGATCCAATACAGTCTAATAATGTTCCTTTTCAAACCGTTAACATCCATTAGTCTTCAACGCTTCCCAACTTTCAAAACATTCATTAATCTTCAACGCTCCTTAACCTCAAAACCCTTTTTCTTCCTCCCCCGAAAATCGCCCATCACTCATTCCAAATCTAGCTAGCGTGGTGCGACCCATGGGGAAAACCCGAACAAAATAGCATTATTACTAACATGGAAATGCAGTGGAGCGCCATTGTTACACCCTGCCCCAGTCATTTGTGACAGCTAGTTGCGCCACTAGGTAGTGTATCTATCAGCACCAAAATTAGCAATCATTTTCATCGGAAAGTAGGACTGAAATTTAGGGAGCCGATGAATATTGATCGGTGGATGGACCTGGGGAGTCTTCGCCAATTTTTTACTATTTCAAAATCATGAGGTGTATTTTTTATTATTCAAGAATTTAATATTTCTATTAGACCTTTTGAACAGGGTGAGAAATTTTTAAGGGTCCGGGGAGGCATTATGCACATGCTTATGTTCAACCCCATACTGTAACATTGATCAGCGTGAGGGAAAGGGGGGTGTGCAGAAATTGAGAATGCTGAAGACAGTTGGGCAAATTGAAAATACAGGGTCCATAATTCAATTCGGTACCTCTTTCAGACAATTGTTAGGTCCCATTTAAACTTTCGAATGGGAAGAGCCAAAATTAGCCATAAAAACGATCAAGGACATCTCTGACTCCGCCCCAGCGGGACATTAACTAAATTCATTACATTTGTGTTACCCTTGAGGATATGCTTTTGTCGTAGTTTATTCTCACACTTTAAATCTTTTTAGTGCCCAAAAATGTTTGATAAATACTAAATGCAAGTAGACATTTTAGCACATATCTGAATTTAGTTTTGCAAAATTCTACACTTAATTGGAGAGCAAAGAAAGATATGCTGGTTAAAAATGTGGGTATCACTTAACCTGAGTACCAAAGTGGGAGCCCCACTTGACTGCAGGGGGCCTCGGATATTTTAGGGGCTTAAAGATTTGATGAATATATTTTCTTATTTTTTTTTATCTGTCAATTTAAGGAAGGAGGGACAAAACCGAAAAGAGGCAGAGGGCTTCGAAAAGTTTAGCAATGCCTCTGCTTGTGTTATGAAAATACTTTTTTTATATTACTAAAAAGTAATGTGGCTTTTATTTTCATTTACATTTTTGGGGGTAGCTACTTAATTAATAAATTTAATGATTTAAAAAAAAAAAATTTCCATCCCATAAAAATAACTGCTAATAACAACATTTTAAACGTTGAACACTTATGAAAAAACAATTCAATTTACTTATAGTAACTATCTTTTCGAAATATTTCCTTGTTTTACCAGTCAATAAGAAAAAAAAATCTGTTAATTACAAAGGTCTTTACATTTATTGGTTTTGAAAACGGGTAATTTGAGTAAATCGCACATGACCGCATACATATGTTAAAAAGTCAGGAGTAGTTTTACAAAAGACATTATATATTTATTATATTATTTATTATGTGGCTCCCATTGTTCTTCGCAAACGCAAGTTTGACCGCATGTTAAAACACTTCTAAGAGAGCTGCATTGGCTGCCGGTCCATGCTCGCGTAGAGTAAAAAATTGCAACTTTGTGCTACCGCTGCATGCATGACCTGGTGCCGTCCTATCTCAAAGAGCTGCTAGTGTCTTATGTACCCACTAGACAACTCCGCTCATCCGATAGTTGCAAACTCTCGACACCACGTGTTCGCCTTGAGACTTACGGAAAGCGCACTTTCGCATTTGCTGGTCCAACAATTTGGAACGCCCTTTGTGTCGCTCTCAGAAACAACCAGACACTGGAGTCCTTTCAAACCGATTTAAAGACACATCTATTTCAAAAATACCTTCTGAGATGATGTTGTCTACCACATTTTCCAGTTAATGCATATTGGCTGTGTTGCTTAGGGTTGAAATAGGTAGAAAGACTTTGACTTGGTATGCTTGTAATTAGTTTTCGTAGTGTTGAGTTTGCTTT